CTTGTCCCTTACCTGGTGGCCTCATTGGCCACCAGCAAGAAGGAAGGAGGCAGAAGGAGGGGCTTTTCTCCCTCTCATGTTAAGAAGGCCAGCTGCATTGCTAGGACTCTCCTGGAGGCAAGCTGGAGAAATAAAGCTCTTTCTGTTTTTCTAAGCACAGAACAATGCTGAACTTTCTGAGACCTGGCATAATGTGGTCACGTGTCTTGTTTCTGCATTCGGAATATTGTCTTTTCATAGACCTTCAGAATATGTTAAGGGGGTTTCACTATATATCACAAATCATGGTTTAAATTTCAAAGCATTAGATAAAAATGACCTTACACTACATTTGTAGATGTCACTCTCAAGCCATCCCAATGTAGTTTCCATGGGAACTAATGTACATCAAAGGAGGAAGAGAGAGAAAGAGAGAGTCTGTAAGATCAAATTTTTAGTTTCTGCCTCCTCTTTCTTTGGGAAAACCAAAATGAGCCCCATGTTAAATGCTGATGAAATTAGATACTGAATCTTATTTTCAATGTGAATGCAGCTTCCCCCCACCAAGAATCTAATCTTTAGTGCTACTGCATAGTTATGCAAAATTTTTCTGAGTTCATCTATATAATTTATAAATTGTATTCAGAACCTCAGAAAGCGCATATACTTATTTAGGAGGAAAGTCAACATCATCCATTATTACTGTTGTTAGGCAGTTGTTTTTAGGACTACTATTATTACATACACTTGCAATTTTGTTGACAAATCCACTCTGTGCCAGGCACTTGAATAACCATGAATGAAAGTTTGTAGTCACATAAGAACACGTTCCAAAATGGTGTTCTATCGGTATGTGTATAGTGTCTTTCAGAGTCATGCCAGACAAGGTAATGTGGGTAGCTATCATTAATTTCCCATCCAAAAAGAACAGTCAACAATAGCATTGTTAAAAAAAAAAAAAGCAAGCGACAGCTATTATATCCAAACCCAATGCTGCACTCCAAGGCCACCTTTATCTAACTCTGTCCTATATGGCTCAGCTGGATTGTAAAATGATTTCGATACTTTAATTTTGGAGTGGTTGAGAGAAGCCGTGATATATTATAGTCCTAATTGTAATTGAGAATAGAGATGCAAAAAGTATTTGTAGCTTGTAGAAAATTAACTAGAAAAATAGTTACTTAGCTGCTACAGCTAAGAGTATTTGATCATATGATATAAAATGACAATTAAGAGGTCCAACAAGATTTTTTTCAGACTAGTACAAAAAAGCTAATAATTTCATCATCATAATCATCATCATCATCATTATCATCATCATCATCTTCCCTTACTTCCACATGTATTCATTTGTAAATGACTTATGCTAGGCATTTGACTTACGCACAAGAGATATAGCAGTGAACAAAACAAATAAAACCCTAAACTCCATATAACTTAGCAGTTTAGCTAGGCGAGAAAATGTAAAGAAACACCAAGGGAAGTGAGCACAAAGTGTAGGGCAGAGGGTCAGAAGTTATTCTGGGGTAGCAGTATCTGACAGACCCAAGAACAGCTAGAATCTAGAAAAGGACCAACTGGGGCTAGAAATACAGTAATAGATACTTTGTCCCTAAATAGGAACTGAGCAAATGACTCAGCTAGAGGATTTTCTTCAAGAAAACAATTCAGTAGGAACTACCATGAAACAGAGAACATTATGAAACAGTGCGGACCAATAAATACACTAATACAAAACAGAATGATAGAGGATTCAAGAAAAAAACATGCCTCTTAGCTGCGAAAGGCTAAGGTTCTTTTCAATGTGCTATAATGAAATGCAAGCTAGAATGATCAGATTTTATATTCCCTGTGGTCTGTCATGTATCTTTGTATTCATTTCCATGGACCTACTAAAGGCACTGTGTAGGATATAAGGGTAATCAGTTTTAAGCAACACTTTTTGTTGTCATTATAAAGATCTGAATTTAAAAACTAAAAGAAAGGCTGGGCATGGTGGTTCACACCTGTAATCCTAGCACTTGGAGAGCCTGAGGAGGAAGTATCACGTATCACTTGAGGCTGGGAGTTTGCAACCAGTCTTAACAACACAATAAGACTCTATCGCTACTAAAAATTAAACAAAAAAATTAGCTGGGTGTAGAGGCATGCACATATACTCGTAGCTACTTGAGAGGCTGAGGAAGGAGGATGGCTTGAGACCAAGAGTTTGAGGTTGCAGTGAGCTGTGATGATACACTGTACTCTAGTCCAGGCAACAGAGCAAGACCCTGTTTCAAAATATATAAATAAAATCCATTTGTATGTAGATATGAATATAATTTATTATTAGGCTTTTTTGGGGGGGAGGTGATATATCATCACAGAGGACTTTGGTGGCAAAAAGACCTGGATTCAAATTCTGTCTCTTCTGCATGCTGCCGTGTGACTTTAGGTGAGTTAGTTCACTTGTCAGAGCATCAGATTCTTCATCTTCAGAAGGAGGGTGATCATTGCATGGGTGTCCCAGATTTGTTTGAAAGGTTAGAGATAAAATATGTAAAACATATGGAATGAGAAGGTCCGTTGTATGTTGGAGGGGAATTTTTCCCTCTCCCATTTCTCTCACTTGCATGTGGAATGGCTCTGTGCATCTCTTCGCTCTCTCTTGCCATTGGAGAAAGCAGTGGAGGGAGCTCAAGCTAGTGATAGATCTGACCAGAGAGTTTAGAAGGAATTAGGCATACATGGCTCTCTTCCTTTGGGACTAGACATCAGCAGAAGGGCTCATTTTCTTAGCTGTGTCTGGTACTGGTTGGAAAGGCTCAGCTCTGGGCTGGAGTATTTGGAGGTCCTTTATTGTCAAACATCTATGCCATATCCTCCAAAAATTTTGTCAGGAATAAAGCTTAAATGTTAACTGTTGTCTATTAATTCCTATATTTATTTTTGGTTATGATTTCTGGTGGGAAAAAGGAGTTATTTACTAAATCTCAGACATATAATTCTGGTTCAACAATTGATGACCAATAAGAAAAATAGTAACAGCAATTATAAAGATATATAATAGTAGTTATAATATTATATATTTATAGTAGTTATAATAGTATAAAGATAATATGGCAAGTAAATATTAACCATTAAATTTTCATCACTCACTGATGTAAGGATTTTTCTAATTTTATCTTCACAACTCTATAAATTAGAAATTCATGTTCCCATCTAACAGATGAAGACATGAAGCCAGTGGGAGGTTAAACACAGTACTGAAAATCATAGAACTTCTAAGTGAACAGGCAGGTTCCAAAACCTGCCTCATTAGCTACCATGCTATAAATCTTTGAACAAGATATTTATATTGACAAATGACTATCAGGTTTCTAGAACTTATGAAGAGCACAAGAGTAAAAAAAAAAAGATTTGTAACATTAACTGCCTAATAGTTTATTGCTCTCTGGCATTGTTTATTCAAAATCATTCATTTGCAGATAATATATAACCAGGTATTAGAAAATTCAGGATGCGTATGAAAATGTCATAAACAAAGTTTTAAGGAAAAACCTAGGCTGAATTATTAATATTTCATTATAAGGAAAGAATGGGGGTTGGGTGCAAAAAAGCAAGAAAATATATAAGACCTCGAATGTTCTAACAGAGTGAGCAAGTCACAGCCTATAGGGCTCTGGGAGAGAGGAGGACTGAACATGCTGTACAGGAACATTTTGGGAGGAACCCAAAATGAGAAAGATCTGAAATGCAATTCTGAAGATTTTTATCTAGAAGAAATGGAGAGGTAGAAGATTTTTTTAAAAATTCAAGTATGAATGATCTGATGAGTATTTTAGAAAGTTAACTGTATGATACAAACATGATGGATTAGAGGGAAAAAAAAACATTTGGTAGCAAGGAGGTCCATTAGGGGTTGAATCGTGTCCTCCCAAAAGATATGTGGAAGCTCCAATCTTTGGTACCTGTGGTTGATATCTTATTTGGAAATAGGGTCTTTGTGGATGTAAGCTAGTTAAGATTGGGACATTAGGGTGGGCCCTAATTCAATTGCCTGTTGTCCTTATGAGACAAGGAGAAGGCAGAGATGCAGGAACAAGAATGGCATGTGCTGGAGGTGGAGATTGGAGTTAAGCAGCTACCAGCCAAGGAACGTCAAAGATTGTTGTCAGCACCAGAGCTAAGAGAAAGGAAGGGGACAGATTCTTCCCTAGAGCATTCCGAGAAAGCATGGCCCTTTTCCAACTTCTAGCCTTCAGAACTGTGAGAGAATGAATTTCTGTTGTTTTACACCACTCAGCTCGCAGTGCCTTTTCTATGGCAGCCCTAGGAAACTAATAAAACTATTAGTAGACTACAGTCAATGAAGAAGTAGTGAGCACTGGAATTCAGATAGTGGCAGTAACAATGGCAAAGAGAAGGTGCTTGGTGGGCCAGAGCTATGTTCGATAAAGGACTAACCAGGCAATGAAGAGTGGAAACAGAATGATGGAGCCACAAGGGATCTCATCAATAGTAATAGGGTACACGCTTGAATGTTGATGGGCCCCTTTCCACAGCTTTCCAAAACTACCTCTAGATCCTGGTAGGGCCTCTAGGGAGGGGGCTGTCAAGAAGGATCATCCACCATCTAGTCTAGCCCTGGATAGTTCTGGAGGCCAACCTGGAGGTGGTTTAGGAGGGCAAATGCAGGACCCAGGACTCTGGTTGCCATGGCAGAGCAGGGGGCCTGGGAACAAAAATTGGCATTAGTTTGATTTTTCCATCTTCTCATATGTTGCCCTCAAATTTCAGTAAAGTGTGTTGAAGAATTTTTTGGAAGTGAGAAACCAGAAACAATAAGTCTAACTTACTCATTCTAGAAGTTAGAAGGTAATAGAAAGGCGAGAAATGGGAAAGTTGCTCAGACGCAAGGCCAGTGAATCAGAGAGAAAAAGCTCAAAGCCGCAGAATAAAGCTTCAGTAAAGAGATATTGTTACTTGGAGAAACGGCCTTTTGTCCTTTGTTCTATTACCGGTCAGAGGAGCCGGAGAAAACCCGAGCCTGAGACAACAGCTCGGCTAAGTGCCCTTGAGAGGGTACAGTGGGGTCAGCCACAAAGCCAGACCACTAAAGAGAAAAAGAAATACAGGGAGGATCGGAGAGGAGAAATGAGAATGGTGGGGGAAAAAATTATTTTTTAAGCCAAAAAGAATCAGAGAAGAGCAGAAGTGCCTCTAGGACAAAGCGTAGCAGGCAGTTAGGGAAAAAGGGCTGTTAACCTCTTTGAAGCTCTGACTACATTAGAAGTCCTGCAAGACAGTCGTCGTTTTCGCAGGCAGGTAGAGAACCTTTCCTGCTCGTTGTTCTTCCGTATTATAAATCACTGCCCTCTTTATGATGTCTACAGGGAAAACCACTTCAAGCTTCTTAGAGTCCCCTCAAAGCATTTTCTATACTCAATATAATATGGGAAGCCCTGGGTTTGTCTTTGTGTATTTTATCTGCAGTAATCTGAAACCTGCCATCGCCCTCTTCCTTTCTCTACTTATGGAGTAAGGGGGTCAGCGACAAAGATCGCTGGGAGAGGAAGAAACCCAGAATGCAATGAGGAGAGCATTTAAACCGCCGGACCATGTGCCTGTGTGGTGGAAGACTCTGGTAACATTCTAAAGGTAAACATAAATATATATGTTCCTTCTGGATTATGAAATATCTTGTACATTTTGTTTCTCTAAATGTGGAAATTAGAAAGCTAAGTAGAAATCAATAATTTAATGAATTCATTCAACAAATGTGGTGATTTCTCATCACAACCAAGCACGCCCTAACAGCTAACGTGTGTGGGTGACTGTTGCACATCAACGACTATGCTGAGCGCTTTGCATGGATTATGTCATTTAAGCCTCAAGCAAATAATACTATGAGATAGGTGCTCTTGTGATGTCCATGTTACAGATGAAAAAACTGAGGCCCAAGGTCCCCTAGCTAGGATGAGACAGAGCCAAGTTTGAACTCAGGTTACGTGCGTGACTCAAGAGGCTGTGTACTTAACCTCTTTACAACATCCCCGGCATCATATACTGCATTAGGCATCGAAGAATCAAGGGCTTTAGGGGTTCAGAGAAGGGACCGTTTGGTGGGGGCAGAGTGTAGTTAAGGCAGGGTTTAAGTGAGAGGTAGTACATGAACTTGACCTTGAAGATGAGGCAGATTTGAGTCAGCAGATCTGAGTGAAACAGAGGGCTTCCGGTAAGGAATGGAAAAGCACCTGAGTGTAGTCCAAAGTCAGCATAAGACAGGAGTCAGTAGACAATGAGGAGACTACTTTGACTGGAAGGAAGCTCTGTGAGCAATATAATAAGTCAGACAAGACAGAGGTGACCATCAGGGAGAAGTGTCTGGCATGGTGGGAAATTGAAAACCACGGATGATTCTTTTAGTCTAATCTACGTGTTGAATATACCAGCAATGGCATGCAGGATGGATTGCACCTAAGGGAAAGCCTAGAGCCCCAGGAGTCCAGCTAAGAGGTCTTTAGGAAGAAGGAATGATATGAAAAGTGTTTTAAATGAAAAGTAATAGGAGTTACTGACTGTGACATGAAAAGAAAGTAAATGAACTCATTATACCAATAATAATCGACATTTATAGAGTCTATACAATATCCTATAGTAGTATCCATGTAATCAGGCATTGATTCTCATAATAGTACCATGATTTAGAATTAAACCAAGACCTGTTCTAATCCTGGGATTTCTGTAGTTATCTACTGAAGTTAACCAAGATACTAATTCTTCAAATAGTGTATTGTGATACCATGTACGGGGGGAAGGAGTTTGCAAGGTTAGGGGCAGTGAAAGACAATTTTGATTGAAGGAAGGTTAACTATTCAGGTGCAGTGTAACTCATTATGCCATTATGTAATAATAATAATTATTTTTTATTTTGATTCTACTATGAATCAGGACCTCCCATGGATACCAAAACCAGCAGATACTCCCGTTCCTGATATAAAATGGCCTGCCTACCCTGACTACCTGTCCTTATAATTATTATGATTATCATAGATAATTATTGAATGCCTATTATATACCAATGTTCTAAACATTTTACATGCCTTCACTCAGTTAATATAGTAATAATTATAGTGCTCACTATTACAATAATTATAGAGCTTATATTTACAGTGTTTACAGTGTACCAGGCTATAGATCAGTTTTCAAATATATTAACTCATTTAATCTTCACAAAAACCACATAAAGTAAATGCCACTATTTTATCTTCACTTTACAGATAAAGAACTCTGGTCCAGAGAATTTAAGTAACTCAACCAAGGTCACAGAACTAATGATTAGCAGAGTGGAGATTTGAACCCAGGTTCTCTGGCTCTAGAGTCTATGCTCTTAACAACTCCTCTATAAGATCATGAACTTTGGGCCAGGCACACTGGCTTGCACCTATAATCCCAGCTATTCAGGAGGCTGAGGTGGGAGGCTTAAGCCCATGAGTTCAGGACCAGCCTGGGCAACATAGCAAAACCCTGTGACTTATAAAAAAAATCATGAACTTTGAGGTCAGGTAAGTCTAGGTTCAAATCTCAGCCTTGCTACTTACCCTTGTGGGACCTTCAGTACATTTCTTTTTGTGTCTAAGTCTCAATTTTTCCATAAATAAAATTATGGATAATTAGTAATATTTATGTAATAATAGCTATGAGGATTAAGCTCTGTTACCAAGTGTTATTCAGTGTGTGCTTTATGAATAAATGAGTAAAACACCAGTCATCCATGCTACACAATTAACATTTTGCTGTATGCTACTTTATATTATTTAATTTTTCTGTGCATATATATATTCTTGTCAATCTGGCTAGACTGTATGCATCCTGAGAGCACACACCATGCTTTTTACTTCAATATTTGCCCTAGTGCTCTCAACAAGGATGCACACGTAGAGAGCTGCTCAATAATAATCACTTCCATGAATGAAGCACTCGTGTGGACCCAACATTTTTATTAAGTATTTACTCCTCACAGCAACCCTAGCTAGAACTCACTGACATCAACTCCAATTTACAGACTAGGAAAACGTACCATACTGAGATAAAATGATTTTTCCAATGGTCACACAATTAGTAGAGTCGAGAATCAAATTCAGCTCTGTTTATCTCCAGAAACCCTAGGCTTAACCACCATGCTACACTGCCTCCTTAAAGCACTGATTGATGGGTAATTTGACAAGGGGTTAGGGCCCAGCATCCCGTACCTTTGGAGAGCAACTTTCTGCATCTGAGTTCCTGATTTGTTTGGCCCACTTGGCTCAGGCAACCTCCTAGTTCATGGCTTTTCTGTAGGTCCCTTCCTAGCGGCTCAAGAACAAACCACCTAACCAAGAATCAGAGGTGCAAGTAATAGTGGCTGCTCTTGAAGTTGGCCCACAGAATGTAGGGTAACATGCCTGAGTCCTTTCTGCCTTCTCGATAGATTATGACTTCAGCATTCTCTGTGTTTAATAACCTCTAGCTGATCCACTTTGAAAATTGTACGCAATAGTCCTCAAAATTTCTAATTTTGTACCTGTGGTGAAGTAACTTTGTGGCTAATCCTTTGAGCACCCTTAAAGCTCACAATGGAAAAGGCATTGGCTCCTAATCTTCTGCAGAACTGTTTTTAATACTTCCTGCAAGCTGTTATTGGTGTCTTTATTTAGGCTGTATTTCTTCATTTCAGCATCTATGTTTAGCAGTTATATAAAGGAGCAAAATGGGTTTAATGGCCTGAAGTGGCAAAGGATGATATGTTGGCCTCCTTGGAGCAACAGAAGATCAAATAACCATGGGGAGACTTCCTGCTTCCTGGTGACTAGGAGTCACATTTCTTTTATCTGTCTGTGAGTCAAGGGGAAATTCATGGCCACCCAGTATACATAGAGACCTTCTTTTGAAAGTCTCCTCTGCTTCTTACAGTTGTGGAGTTTGACACAGTGGGGGTGGGAGGTGGAGAAGGTTCATTAAAGGGCCATGCAGATAATCTTCTCATCTGCTGATTTAGTTTGCCTCATTGTGCGTGGTACAGACTCACATTCCCTTTCTGGAGCATGGAAGGTTTGAATCAAACTAAACAGATACTCCCTGGGTCTGGGCATGTACATAATCCAGGAACTGTGGGCTTCTCAAGACCTCTACCTTCAGCATCCCAAGAAGAATTATGGGTGCCATTTGATCTGCCTTGGAATCACCCCCTTCTGCTCTCACAGAACTTGTCCTTCCTTACTTCTGCCTTAGCACTCCCACCAGACCAGGCACAAGCCCTCAGTAGACAGCCCTGGCTCGGATTGCAGGTTCTTTCTCTTATTAACTATGGGATCTTAATTAAGGTATTTGACTTTCCAAGTTCTGTGTCTTCACCAGAAAATGGAGACAATGATAATACCAACCTTCCAGATTTACTGTAAAGAATAGAAAAACTTTGAAGAATTCTTTGGACAATGCTGTTAGTATACAGGTAGCTGGAGTGTTTTTCCCTGACCAATCAATCCTGCATTTCTGTTTCAGGCAGCCTGCATAGACTTTAAGAAATAATTCTCAGCTTATTCATAGTAGAATCAAAGTAATCAGGTAAGAGAAAAAGTTATTCATAAATTCTTAAGTCTAAGTTTCCCCTCTGTCCACTTAGAAGCAATATAAACACTAAAACTGTTTTATTTTTTACCATCTATTAAATCAGAACAAAAACTCAGTAATTCTCCAACAGTTATATTCTGCTGTTAAAAAATCTCCTAAATCTCCTACTCCCTCTCCTTTCATAAAAAACACACCCCTCTAAGTATGGAGCAAAGGAACTTCCCTTTGTATTCTGCCCCATAAACTCCTGCATACACCTCCTTTGTATAAAAGCTCATCCAAAGTCAACCAATAAGTGACAGCCCTCCACCTCTGATGGCCTGCCACCAGCCCTGACTGCCCTACACTGCCCTACTCCCTTAGAGTCTCTTATCACTGGAGAGGTGCAGGGACCTATGACCATTTTGTCATGGCTCTACATGGCTGCACCAGGGAGGGGTGAGGGAAAGGAGAATCCTTTCATGATTACAATTATTTTTGAATATTGACTTAATTTGAAAATTTTTTCATTCTTGCCTGTGCCCTAGGCAGATCTCTAAGCAAATTCCAGATCATTAAGGAGGAGTTCAGGTATGCTGGTGCATTTTGGCATTTTTTTTTAATGCCAAAATAATCCATTGCCCCTTGGATTCACAGATGTCTTAAATTATCATCCAGGTTTAGTATTGACCCTTTAGGAACTACAGTCACCCCTTGGTATCTGTGGGGGATTGGTTCCAGGGTCTCCCTTGGATTCTAAAATCTGTGGATGCTCAAGTCGCTGATACTTAATGGTGTAGTATTTTCATATAATCTATGTGTACTTTCCCATAGCCTTTAAATTATCTGTGAATGCTATGTAAATAGTTTGTATACTATTTTGTTTACTATATTGTATTATTTTCTTGTCCACTTATTGTTTTCCTATCTTACTAGGAAATAATGACAAGAAAAATAAGTTTGTACACATTCCTACAGATGCAATTTTTTTTCCAAATATTTTCAATTGGTGGTTGTTTGAATCCTCGATACAGAACAGAGGGAATACAGATGGCCAACTGTATTTAGAAACATGAAAGAATATCCTTTGCCTTCATGATGGCCGTGGCAGGATGCTACTAGCATTTTTGGATGGAGACAGGAATGTTAAATGCCTTGCAATGACAACATTAAGACACAATGAAAACTGTCATGACAATGCTTCCTTCCATGAGTAAACTGCAATTATTTGTACCTTTCTTCTGTCCTATAAGAGAAATTAATCATGTCTATCTCACTTAATCAGCATCCTTCCCTCAAACTCAAATTTGAGTCTTGACTACTAAGCACCTATAACTGTTAAGCACTTTCTGATTCAATATCTCATTCAATCTCCTAAGAGAATCATAAACTTCTCATTACTGCCCTTCCAATGGAGAAACTAAAGTTAAAGAAAGCAAAGGACACATACCCATGTTCTGATACTGAGTCCAGCACAATTTTACTACCTTATGCTGCCTCTATGATACTAGTTTTATGGCATTATCTGGATTACTAAAAATGTTCAAATTCGGGCCTTATATCAATAGAACGAGAACAATCTGAAGAAAAACAGAGTAAGGATAAAAGTAACCAAAATACATTGAAAAAAATAAAAACTGGAGTACCTAAATTACATGTAAAAGAGCCTTTGAAAACTGTCTAAGTGAATTCGTGTCTATATACCTATGTTGGCATCACAAAATAGCAACTTCCAATTCAAAACTCATTCCTTATAAATATATTTCTCATATCTATTTTAATTAAAAGGTTTAACTTGAATATTAAACTTTCATGTCTCCCTTATCTATTTGTCCCTCTGGAATACTGCTGAGTCATACGGCATTCACAAGAATATTAATTGTGTGCAATTACATGATTTAAAATGTATTCTCAATAGCCAAAGTGTCCCCCTGACTCCTTGAAACTCAGCCATCCTGTTTCAGACGGCCTTTCACTCAGGCTTTGAAACTACTTTACAGACATCTCTTTATTCTCCTTTATTTTATAAATTGGGAAATAGATCAAATAGAAGTTAAGTAGCATATAGAGGTCAATGGCAGATTCCTGGAAGAACCAGGGAAAGGCATCACCCTGAATTCACCTATAGTTATCACTCAGATAATGTAACATTTCTTCAGAAGATTGACGTAGCCTATTCATGTATAAGGCAGACCAAAGAGATTATTTTTTTCATGAGGCTTCCTCATGAAAAGCAGATTCACAATTAATTCTGATTCAACTAGCATATCCTTTCTCACTGCTACAAAATATCTATATTGAAATCAGGTTGACTGTTCATCTTTTCTTCCCATGTGTTACATCTGCTAGGGGATCAATGAAGATAAAAATATTTGGAGCTTTGTGTTCAATATAAGTTCTTGTATGCAGTGGCTTGATTTGATGATTTTGTAAAGAAGCAAGTAATCAAAGTAGTTTTACAGTGTTTTTGATAAAGGATTGCTCTTTACTGGTACTCATCTCTCCACTACTAATTGACAAAACGTCTTGAGAGAAATACCCATAAATTTAAATTAATTATTATGAAAAGCCCTAATGGCACTAAATAAAGATTTCTGTTGATAAAGATTTGGCTATGGCAATTCCATATTTATTACTGGAGATTTCTATATCAGGGCTCTGCAAACTATGGCCTAGGACCAAATCCAACTGTTGGGTATTTTTGTAAATAAAGTTTTATTAGAATATAGTCTTATTCATTCATTTACGTATTGTCTCTGGCTGCTTTCTTGCTACAATGGCAAAGTTGAATAGCTGGAACAAAGACTATGTGGCCTACAGAGTCTAAAATATTTACAATGTATCCATTCACAGAAAAAGTTGCCAACAACTATTCTAGATTAAACAATATGTCAGCCCTGGCAGATGTGAATAGTACCTTGACTATCTCTCAGAGCACTTATGAAGTTTAATTTCCAAAGTTATAAGCAAAACTTTCCAAAGGGCTTTCCTTGAGACCACACACTTTCGAGTCAGACCCATCAAGTTTTGAATTCTCTGAACAGAGTTGCTTTGCAAATGTCAAACCGGTAAAGTAGTTGATGACAATTTTGCTGAAAGAACACTCCAACTTTATCAAGGGAAAGATAATGGAAACATATTTGAGGACCTCGATTATCCATACTTTGCTCTAACTTCCAGAATACTATAGATGCATATCTCTGATTTACAGACTGCCAAGTCAAGAAGTCCGAATTTCTTGGCATGAGTTTGGTAGTACAGTATAACTTTGATTATGACTTCTTATGTCTGGCATAAATATATTCCCTTTGTGCATATTCTTTTTAGATGCAGCACAAAAAAAGCATGACTCTAACTTTTTTCTCTCATTTTTTCTTTAGAAGAAGCAGCTGTGAAGTCATAATTATGCTCACCTCCCACTGGCAACTGGCAAGCCCTTTATTTTTGTGCATTTGGAACTCACCAAGAATAAATAAAGTCCATTCCCTCCTTGAGGGGCTATTCTGCCATTCCATCTAGGATTTCACAGTTTGCCAATTCCTAGAACATCTATCGTTATAAATAGGTTTTGCCTTTAAAAAAAGTGGGCCTTATGAAATGAAGTAAGGGGAAAATATCTCAAAAGAATATAAAAAATAAGTCAACATCATCTCTAAGAAATAGCAACAAATTTTCTAGCTTTTAAAAACTTATAATTATCATTGTTGGTTAATTGGTACTATAGATTATGCAGCACTGACATGTAATTTTCTAAAACAAAGAGGTTTTTATCATGTTACATTATGCTGTGAAATTAGGGACTTTTTATGTTATTTTTACCCATTGAAGAACAAAGGGCAAAAGTCTTGAAACATGCAAGGATTTAGATAATGAATTATATCCTAAATTTAGAAAATATATCAGACAATACAGAATGATTCATGGTAAGAATTTGTAATCCCGGAAAGGCAACTTATTTGGGTCTTTTGTTTATAAATAAGCCAGCTTTTCTTGGCTCAAACCTGGATGAGAGCCAGAAACATTAACGACCATTTCTTCAGCTTCACACAGACCTTCAAAAAGGTCAGAAATAGGGTATATTATTTACATTTTATGGGAAGATGTATTAATACTTGTAAATCCATTTGGATAATAACATTGATTTTAACAGGTTGATAGATGTATTTGTCTTTTAATGTCCATTAAAATAACGATCACCTAGAGTCTATGAGAAATTCAACATTTTTTGTTGATTAGTCTGTTTTTTATTCATAGGTACAATCACTTCTTAAATACAAATTTTAGGAAGGACTAACCTGTTCTCAAAAGGCAACCCTGTTTGAGAAGGTGAACAGATACAGATTCGAGATTGTGGCTTCACACTTTGTCCTGGGACATAACCCAGGATTTGATATTTAATGGGTTCCATGCTATTGGGCCCATGAAGAAACGCTTCTGAGGGAAGACAGATGTTTGTCTGGGACTCTACTGTTTAAAGAGCTGTGCTCTTTCTGTAACAGCAGGTATGAAGATCAGAAAGGAAGATTAGGAGCCCAAATGAAGGCATTAGGACTTTGTAAACATAGATGTCATGCCTTAGTCTGAATGGATTGGTGGTCGTGCTACAAAGAAAAATGCAGCAAAGGAAATTGGAGGATGAACCTAAAAGACACAGAGTCTTAGTAAACTAAAAAGAAAGTAAAGGGAGACCTTCAAAGCCCACTGCATCTAAGATGAGCTTCTTTTTTGAATTTTATTCCTTAAAGAATACCACATACAGAGACGAACTCATGAAATTTGCATTCAATAATTGATGACTTTTTGACATTTATTTGAAGTTTCCTTTTGGGGAAAATGGCCCACTGGTACTCTGGAATTACTTCATAATTAAGCAGCCCTTTGCATATACCATATGCAACCACCAATCTAAGGTCATGTATTTTATAGTCTTTCCAACATTTTTAAATCTCAAGTTTTAGGGTAATTAATATTTTCTTTAGGAAAAAAGACAGTGAAAGACAGGTAGTGTCCATTTGAACATAACCAATAGCCCCTGACCCAGAGGATGAGTCTACTGGCTATTCTAGTAGCTGCTGCCACCAGCAGCCTAGTGAGGGCAACAACACCAACATTAATGGTGGATAGATTCGGCTTTATCTGAAGTCAATAGGTACAGTCAAGAAGTGATGAAGAAAACATGAGTAAAGACAACAGTAGATGAAGTAAACAAAATAAATAAAATAAGTAAATTAAATACATTAATAAAAATAAAGAGAATCCTGGCATGGTGGTATGGGCCTATGAGGTATGTCCCAGCTACTTGGGAAGCTGAGGCAAGAGGAGCTCTTGAGCCCAGGAGTTTGAGCAGGTTGCAGGAGGTTATGATGATGCTACTGTTTTCCAACCTGGGTAACAGAGGAGGGAGAACCTGTCCTGTCTCAAAATAACAACAATAATAATAATAAAGAGAAAAAGCAAATAACAACAAAGCAACAAATCCCCATTCAAATTATATACCTCACATAATGTTTGTAACTATTAAATAAATAATGTATTTTAAAACCCTTATTGCAGTCCCTACCACATAAGAAAACTCAGGAAATGCTGGCACATTCATTCATATACTCATTCACATTTATTATTTGGATGCTGAATAATATGGTGGTTAAAGCACAGGCTTTGAAATTAGTCTTGTAACATATTAGCAAAATTTGAGATAGCTTTTTAACCTCTGTAAACCCTAGTTTTCCCATCTGAAAAATGTAGATAAAATATTTATCTTATTACTTCATTTGCACTCTTATTCTGGTTCGCACTAAAATGGTCCCTGTCACTGGTTGAATTGGAACTGCAGTCACTGGTTAAGATTTACATATAGGAATATTACATAGTGATCCACAAGCTCACCTGTTTTCCTATGCCTGAAATTCTCTTTGATTCTTCCTTTCATTCATTTGTTTACTCAGGAAGCTTCCATTACAAGTCTGCTATGATTCAGATTTTGTGTCCCCCTTAAGAATTATAAATATGTGTGTGTATTTAATAAGAGATCAATTTGAAAAAAAAATTATATTTTTACTTTCAAAAAATTATTTCATATCTACTTTGAAAAAGAGATGTATTTTTTCCAGAAATAAATGGTCTACTCCAGGGATGGGGAAACTTTTCATGGAGGAAAGCTGCATTGTCTTAGCTGTAATCAAATAAGGCCACATTCAAGAAACTTCAATTAGATATATTTAAAAATGTGCATTATTTTGTAAAAATCTGACTACTATGTACTTAATTTCAAAAAATGAAAACTATTTGTTAATTTTAGAGTTAACTAATCTTTTAATGACTTTGTTGGGTCTGCTTTTTGTTAGAAAGCATTTGAATATTTGGTTGCAGCATGGAGGTCCACAGTTTCAGTTGATCCTCTAGATGGGTATCAGTCATTTGTGACCTTAAGGGAAACTTGATTTGGGTTAGGTAGGAGAATGTAGATTTATAGCAATAAGTAGTTGAAAAGCAAGATAGCATTTGGGGGACATGTTGCCAAAGTATGCAGTATTCCTACTGCATTTTTCCATATTTCAACTGGATCTTTCTTAGTATCAAACAATAACTTTAAAATGTCATCTACCAAAAACTCAATCAATTCCATCTATAGTTCTTTAGGTGCCTTGGTGATATCAACTAGGTGAGGTTGAAATGTCCATTTGAGTGTCATGTCATGATTCTCAAAGTCAGTGAACCTTTCATCGTAGTCTCCAATTAATAGGTCTATAACAGCTGTGTATTCTTCAAATTATTTGCATATATCATCCTACTCATCAATGATTTTTGCTAACCGGGGAAAATGTTCATCCAAAATTCCCTTTTGAAGAAGAAGTGTTTTGAAAAAAGATAACTGTTTTCAAAATGCTTGGATTTTTTGCCATATATCATATATAGACTGTTTTACCTTGCAAAGAAATATTCAAGTTGTTTTGATTTGACAGGACATCACACAGAAATGCTGCATTCGTATCAAAACCTTTCAGTAATTCACATTGCTGATTCTGCTCTTTATAAAACATAACTATCTGTTCTCACACAGATCAAATTTTGGCTAACACCTGTCCCTGTGATAGCCAACACATTTTAGAATGACAGGGAAAATCCATGCTGAATACCTCATCATTCAACTTTAGCATGTTATAAAGCTGACCATGCCGTGTTGCATTTACAAGAGTACAGTTAATAATCTTATAACTTGTTGCAAAGTATCACTTAAAATAGTAGATGTAGCACAGAGATTTGGCTGATGCAAGATACAATAAAAAGAAATGAGATCATCTGGATCTGTCAATAATTTTTTTATTTATGCAATAAACCCTTTATGTTTTCCTGACATGGAAGGTGCACCATCCATACATATAGTCACCAAATTTACCAAATTCAGTCCAACTTCACATTTATCTTGAAAGTTATTGAAGATATCTATTTCCTGTGTTCTGTTTGCGAGAGTGCCCAAAGCGAGTAACACTTTATGGCAAAGAAAATCTGTTATAACCTGAATGAAGTATAAAACCTTCACCAAGTAGCAGTATCAGTTGATTCTTCCAAAGCTATTGAATAATATATATTTTCCTTTTGAAGTATTACATAAAGTTGTTCTGTTCGGTTGAGGACTAATTCATGCTGCCAATCAGTTATTGTTTTCCTTGAAAGAGGCAATTGTTTGTACTTTGAAATGTTATTGGGGGTCTAAGCATCCTACAACTTGGACAACACATTCTCTCACAATTTCTACATCACTGAATGATTTCCCTTTTGTCCTGAGTATATAAGCAACTTTATAAGTTGCTTCAGTGGTGTTATTTCTGGGTCTTATTGCATCTTGAAAGAATTGTCTTTGCTTTTGCTTTTCATCTTTTAATTTCTGCAACCTTTCATGCCTTCCCTCTAATTTAAAATATTTATGGTCCTTATGAGTGTTATAATGCTGATGAGCATTGAATTTCTTTAACGTTGATATTTCAGTATTACAAAATAAGCAAACCATCTTATCTTTAGCAGAAACAAGATAATATTATAATTCCCAATCCTCATTAAAAAAATCTATTTTTTTCTCTTCAGTATTCTCTTGGTCTTCTTTGACATGATTCTGTTCTTTATAAAACATAAGTATCTGTTATGTTTGGTGGTGGTGGTGCCAGTCAGGTGGAGGAAATTAGAACTAAATCATGAGTGTAGCAGCTGTCAATTTAGGCTTTATGGCTTCCTAATGTTCTAATTCTGCTGGTAAATCTAGGAGTATTACTTCATTGATACTTATTTTATTCTTTGGTATTTTGAATACATTCATTTTAAAAATAAAATAAAAATGTAAAAGATGAACAAAACTGTATTAATAAAAATAAAAGGATTTGCCCTGTAAAATTTGAATTCAGTCAAAAGGCTGCCCTTAAGTACCTAGAAGGCCATATGTGACCTTAGGGCTTCAGGTTCCCCACCCCTGGTCTACCCTGTACATTTTTAACTTTGAAAG